CAAGATCGCTGGCCATTAACCTGTAGAAAAACGTTATTTACCTCTGTGGTTGGCCAAAAATTGGAGGAGAAGCTTGTAGCATAGAGGAAGAAAAAAGGAAGAAAAAAACAGAGGAAAATCGCAGATGGATTGTAGTAGGGGAGGGGACGAGCACTAAGAGAATGAAGGTTGCATGCAACCTCATACGGACCGATATCAATCCGTATAAATCTGGTAGTAGGCCCCAACATCTCATTGGTTCAGGGAATCTTTGACGTCTATTTTCAGACTAATTTTGGTCTGTATATTATAAATATTCAGATCGGTAACAGTCCATATATTTAATGAATCTCGACACTTTGCTCATGATATATACCAATCGATTTTTGTCAGTATATCTCTATTTAAATGATATTTTATTCTTAATTTTTTTTATTTAATATTTATTTTTTACGAAAAAATATTCAAACCATCTTCGGTTTGAATATCTATAAACCGATCCGAATATTAAATGAACATCGGCATTTTCTGAGTTATATATATGGACCGATTATGGTCCGTATATATTCACTTAAATAATATTTTATTCTTAATTTTTTGTTATTTAATATTTATTTTTTACAAAAATATTCGGACCATCTTCGGTCTAATATTATTGGTGCGTTTGCACTATTAATTCCTGCCATAATTATACAGACAGAAAATGGTCTGAATATTTTGATGAATGGATTTAGTACCCCCTTAATATATTCTGACTGATATTAGTCTGAATTTATATTTATACGGACCAACATGATTCAGTTCGTAAAGGATCGGTTTGAATTAATCATTTTTCTAGTAGTGAACGAAAAATCATCGGTTAAGTTATTTTTTGCATGGGTAGAGATTTAATGGTTATATGATTGCTCTTGTTAGTGAACAAAAAGGTATAACAATCAATTTTCACGACAAGTTCGTGTTTATATTAAGTTCCTATTTATATTAACAATTATATTAAGATTTATCATGGATGGTTGATAATTAATATTTGATGTAGATAATTATTCTTTTATAGCTAAAACAAGCTAAGCTTTGATCTAATTTCAAAAAACTCACATATAATTATCATAATTTTTTTAGATAAAATAAATATCTTTGTCCAGCGTCATAATTTTATTACAAGAATAATAGATTTACATAAGAATAATAGATGTACATCAATTTTAATAAGTAAAAAAATTTATAAAATATGATGTATCATTTTATTATTGATTTTTTGAACAAAAATGATAGGTATGTTTGGAACTGTTGTGAGGTGTTTTGGTTGTGGTTATACTAAATTGTAATGTAGTACAACTATAGTTTAAAGTTATTTCAATGTTTAATCATTTTTTTCCAAAAATAATGAGTAATATATGGTCAATTTTAATAATTATTAATTAAAATTTAAATATTATATTATGATGTATAATTACTAAAAGCTACTTAATAGTTTAACATTGAAATCAAAATATTTAATGCTCACATGGAAGAAGAGTTAGGGAATAAGTTTTTGAATTTTTATCAATGAACCAAACAAAGAGTTATGTTAATTAAATAAAGTGTTAATGAGTAATTTTATAATTATATAATAAATTGTGGTCTCACATGATTAAAAAGTTTCAAAATGAGGTTTCTAGTTTTATATTTAAAATTATTGTTAACTTGTTATAGCTTCCTTAAGCTTTTAAAAAAAGTAGTTAAAAAAATTACTAAATGCACACATATCTAAAATTATTATATATTAATAAGTATAGTTGCGAATGGTTATGCCATGTCATTGGTTCTCTCTTTCTTTTTATTTTATTTATCTCATTAATCATAATTTAGAATTCTAACTTAATAATTTCTAGGTATTAGTACTAAATATTGAAATTTTGATATTTAGTACATTAACAACTCTCATGTACCAAAACAAACCCCGAAATGATTCTTATTAAGTATTACAATTTAACCTTATTAGGAACTTTAAAAGTCTAATAACTAATGTTATAATTACAATGTATAATAGGATTGTAAGATTACAATCATGATATAACATTAAATTATGTTGCATTAAATGAGTATAATGTGAAATTAAATTAATTGATACATACAATATTACGGATGGACTCCTGAATGAAAACAATCAATTATATGGTGAAACATCATATTCTAAGGTTATAATATCATGTAGTTGTAATTGCACCAAACCAGATATCCTTCTTCAGTCCGTGTCTTCACTTCGGATGAACCTACAAAGCTCCGAAGTGGGTCATCAGGGTAAACACTCCGATGCTTAAGTTAGCGATAATCGGATCTACCTCTAGAGTAATGAAAAAGGAGCTTTAGGTTGGTTTCAATTACCTTTTTGAGGTGGCCCCTGGGGGTATTTATAGGCCTTCGTGAGATGTCCACGTGGCTTGCTTAACAGGATAATCGGAGTGTGACGTGTCCCCTCAGGCGATAATTTCAGGACTGGGAAATTGTGTGTGACAAATCAGGAGTGGGCATGTCCACTGTATTTATCATGTAGCCATTTGACCGAGAAATGTTGGATTTAACTTTACTTTGGCTATTAAAGAATTGTAGCAGTACGACCGAGGTTAAGGACCTCGGACCTATCCTTACACTATTCCCCCCTCGAAGTCATTCACTTGTGAATGATGTTGTTAGAGATAATGAGAGTAGTGCATAAATAGGTGAAAAGAGGAATGAAAAAATATTAAAGATGAGTTATGGAAGTTAAAATAAAAATTGGTAACTCAAATTCTTGTATGGCCGTAACTAATAGTGGAATATGCGACACAGGGTCATTGTGGGTATTCCCAAAATAAAATGTGATGCGGGATTATAATGGCTAGAGTAATGACTGAAGGCATTACGATCGGGGTCGTAATAAAAAGTAATGACCAAAGTCATTGTAATCGGAGCTATAGTAAAAAGTAATGACCAGAGTCATTGTGGCCAGAGCCGTAGTAAAAAATAATGACCAGAGTCATAGTGGCCGGAGCCGTAGTAAAAAGTGATGACCAGAGCCGTAGTAAAAAGTGATGACCGGAATCATAGTGGGCAGAGCCGAGGTGAACTACTTGTAAAATTGGAAAATATTATTGTGAAAGTGAACAAAAGTGTTGAGTTGAGCTTAAGTGGGCCCGTTTAAAAAGTCTAACGCAAGGTAGTACGTGATGTGATAGTTGTTTGTTGAAAGACGTGTACAATAAATACGGGCTGAAAAAAATAACTGTTACAGTTAAATAGATGGAATGGAAAACTAACTATCAAATTCGAGAGGCTCCCATTAGGGTTTAACCTTTGAATTTGAAACAGTGTGAATTGTGATCATCAGATTAAATCAATCACAACCGTTGAGATATATTTTTGCTTTGTGGTATATATAGCTATATTTCTGTAAAAAAAGTTTTACTTTTATTACATTTTCTACGAAATTACTGCCAAAACTCTACTGTGTTTTTCCTGCGTCTGAACTATTGCATCCCTTGTGGACTTCTACATCAATCATTCAAGACTGAGATCAAGTAATGTATGAGTTTTGGTGATTTAGATTTTAGAGTGTGTTTTCTTCTACTCTCATCCTTTCTGATTTAGATCTAAGTCCTTTGAAGGAGGTTAGGTTTAGGAGTGAGAGTAAAGGCGAGTGTGAGTTTGAATTTCTGAAGGTCCTGACTTC